CCACAAATAAATATGGTGGAATACCTACAAAGGATTATATGGCCTGGTACAGTATGTTCACTCATAGATATGGAAATACTCCCTTGTGCCCCCCCTCACAGTCGCAATCTAATGTGCCCCCCTCGCAGGCCATGATGACGAGAGGAGATTGATATATTATTTCATTAATATATTTTAGTTTTTATTGATTAAATTAATTATCTATTCAAAGCAGTTATTTATATTATTTTTATTGTCAACTTGCAGTGATTAACCTGTATAGGGATGCTACAAGAAGCACTTGGTGGTGAAGTATTAGTAGGAGAATCAAGACATTTGATACAGACGACCCATGATTTGTTAGTGCAGCACACTTCTATAGATAACGCCGAGGAGATGGTGGATGTCAGACCGATGGTGGAGATGACAACGACAGTGAGACTGATGAGGAAAGCAAAATTGAAGAGGGAGATGGTGGAGATGAAGAAAGAGAGAGTGAGACTGATGAGGAAGATGAGAGGAGAACGAAGAGTAAAAATGATAAGAAAAGAGAGATCGAGATTGATGAGGAAAATGAAATGAGAAAAAAGAGCAAAAATGATAAGGGCAAGGGCATTCTATGTTGGCCAAAGAAATGGTTGAGGCCAAGAAAGTGAACGCCAATGTATTTTTTTGAAACAAATGTAAATTTAAAAGTATGAACCTTTTTTGAAACAAAAGTTGAGTATCAAGATTGAAACTGATGTTAAGTTATTTTTGTATAATTGAAGCTACTCTATCATAGTAGCCAATTAATGAAATGTTCAATCTTTTTGTTGTCATTATGTTAATGAAATCAATACCCTTTTAAGTTCTTTTTGTTGTCATTATGTTAATGGAATCAATACCCTTTTAAGTTGTTTTTGTTGTCATTATGTTAATGGAATCAATACCCTTTTATGTTATTTTTGTTGTCAAGCTTTGAAACTTGGTCAAGCATATGCCAATGTGTTCTTTATGAATGAGTTTATAAAGATTGATATGATTGCATAAGCATTTCATATTTGCATAAGCATATGCCAATGTATTCTTTCTTGAATCATTGCATAAGCACTTCAACTTCATCTTGATCAAGTTTTATTACCTTTTGGTCTTCACATCAACTGTAGCGGACTCTCCTCTTAGAGTGGTAAGAGTTATATCTGAATTGGCTTCATTGGCCCCTTGACATGACTTCCCCCTTGGTAAGAGTTATATCTTACTTTTGTTTCTTTGATTATCTCTCTTGCTTCTATTTTTATTTTTTCCTGTGTTGTGTAGTGGTTGCAGATGACGAGGAGAAAGGCTCTCGTGGCTGCTCTAGAGAAGATCAAAGAAGGTTATATTCTTGTAAATGGAGTTTTCATCATGTTTTTTGCTTTAATGGGTTCCTGTTTTTTTTTTTTCCTAATTAAGGGGAAACTTATGAATTAAGGGGGCATATGTATCTATTATGGGTTAAAAGGATTGCATGCTGATTTTTAATGAAAGTTGGAAGCTATGAACAAATCTTTAGGGCATGCTATGACTGTGACATGGAAATCCAAGCAATGTACATGATCTTGTAACATGTGATTGACCTATCAAATGATGCTTGAATTGCTTCAAATTATCACCATTAGAAAGGTCTCTAAGTCTAATTTAATCTTCATGTTTGGGTCCAATTGAAATTCTGAATAATTTGAAAGTTATACTTCATTTTATGCACCTATGTCACTGTTGACAGACTCTGTAAATTTCAGAAATATCATTATAGTTGCACTGAGGTTTTGTTTGACCAAATGAAGTCCAAATGACTCATAACCATAGCCATTTGAAAGATACACGAGTTTACTATGAGTTTCATGTTTTAACCTTATCCAAATTTTGTCTAATGTAAGAGTTGTGTTTCAAAGTATGTAGATATATCACTGTCGACAGATTGTAGAAAACTCGGAATTTTTGTTCCTATGTTCATAAGTTTTAAACGATCGAATGGAGTTCAATTTCCTTCAAACCACTGTCATTTGAAAGTTCTATGTGTTCTTTTGAATTCACATGTTATAAAGAATTTTGAAATTATTTCTAAATCAAGAGTTATATATCAAATTATAAGAATACGTCACTGATGATCAAACTCAGCAATTTCCAAAACTATTGCTTCTGTTACCTTAAGCTTTTGACAGACCAAATGGAGTCCAATGCTCTCAAATTACTATCACATGAAAGCTAATAATGTTAACTTGAAACTTTGTTTTGGAATTATATTGAAATTTTGTATAAAATTGATGTTTATATCCCTGTTTATGAAACATACCCCAATAAGACATTTCAGAATCTCAAGATTCTATATTAACCCTGAATTGGTCATGCTCAATTAAGCTTCATACTTTATGAGATTGAGGGAGGCTCATACCCACTCTCAAAGAGCAATTGAACTGAAGTAAATTTCCCTCATAAGTTGGATGTTATGTCTCACCTTGCACATGCAAATTTCTGATAAGAATTACAATGAATTCTTAGTTGTGGCATAGATCATACATCTGCTATGCACAGATATGTTGAACATGGATATATTCTTTTCCAAGATGATTGAAGTTCTATTATAAGATACTGAAATGGCACAATAGAGAGAGAAAGAGAGAGAGAGATGGAGGTTTTACACAATAGAGGTACTCTAGAGAGAGAAAGATGGAGATTTCACACAATAGAGGTATTTTAGAGAGAGATTTCACACAGCACAAATGTTTTCTAGAGAGAGAAAGAAGTTTGTTTGGTGAAAGAAAACTAGTATTTATAGCGAACAAATAATGAAGGAACAAACCAAGAACTTGGAGCATTTTTTATGGATCCGGCATTTTTTGAACGCACTCCGGAGATCACAGTCCGGCATTTATGAAATGAGCTCCGGCAAACTAAAAATCACTCCGGCATTTTCTGCAATCACTCCGGAGATTAGTTCACTGTAAAAAAGCAGTCCGGCACCTGTAAAAAGCACTTCGGCAAAATTAAAACTCACTCCGGCGTTTCTTGAATCTACTCTGGAATTGATTCACTATTAATAGGCATTCTGAAATCTAAAAAAGGCGCATAGGCAAAACAAAGACGCACTCCGGTGTTTTCTGAATGCACTCCGGAGAATGTTCACCATTAAATAAGTACTCCGGCATTTGTAAAATGAACTCCGGCAACATTAGAAAGCACTCCGTCATTTGCTGAAGGCACTCCGGAGATTAGTTCATTGTAAACAAGCAGTCTGGCATCGATAAAAAGCACTCCGGCAAACTAAAAGGCACTCCGGCCTTTCTTGAACCCACTCCGGAGATTGATTCATGGTTAATAGCCAGTCCAGAATCTAAAAAACGCGCACCTGCAAAACTAAGAAGCACTTCGACATTTTCTGAATGCACTTCGGAGAATGTTCACTGTTAAATAAGCACTATGGCATCTGTAAAATGAACTCCGACAATATTAGAAAGCACTCTGGCATTTGCTGAAGGCACTATAGAGATTAGTTGACTGTAAAAAAGCAGTCCAGCAACTAAAAGGCACTCCGACCTCTCTTGAACCCACTCCGGAGATTGATTCACTATTAATAGCCAGTCCGGAATCTAAAAAACGTGCACTGGCAAAACTAAGAAGTACTCTGGCATTTTCTGAATGCACTCCGGAGAATATTCACTGTTAAATAAGCACTTGTAAAATGCACTACAGCAAAACTAGAAAGCACTTCGGCATTTTTTGCAAAGCACTTCGGCGATTATTCACTGTTAATATGTAGTCCGGCATTTGTAAAACTCACGCCGGCATATATATAAAACACACCAGCATTTCATGAGCTCACTACCGCGAATTGTTTACTGTATAATAGTGCACTCCGGCACTTGTGAAGATCACTCCGAAGAATACTTCACTGTTAAATAGGCAGTCTGACATCCATAAAACGCTCTCTGGCATATTTGGAAAACACTCCGGCAATTGATGAACTTGCTTTGGCGACTAGTTGACTAAAATTGACACTCTGCCACATGTGGAAAGCACTTTGGCAAACAGGTTTATGTAACAGTCCGGCCCATGATGAAGCCACTCCGGCGCTTCATTCATATAAGTCTGGCACTTAGATTCCTAGATGAAAGGCCAATCCGGCAATTCACTACCTTAGTCCGGGGAATAGCTCCATGGAATCATGAGCACTCCGGCATATGAGGAAAGCAGACCGGCAGTTTGCTTCTTGGAATCCCAACCACTCTAGCGTTTGTCTGCCTCGGTCCGGCGAAAACGCCACTGGAATCATGGGTTATCCGGTAAGTGATGAACATCGAACCGGTAGTTTCCTCCCTGGAAATTTTTCAGTGCGGTGATTCATCATATCACTCCGCGATATGTTTCCTGGATATAGAGGCACTTCACTCCGGCGTTTTAGATATTCAATCCGACATATTGTTTTCTCATAAGTACTCCGGCGAATAATAACCGCGGTTCGGTGTTAATGAAAATTGGGATCCGTCTGCAGGATTTGATCGCATGTTCAAGGTATAAGAAGAGGTATTTTTGGTAAAAAAATAAACCTTTTTCAGTTGGGGGGGGTTAGTAAGGAAAGTTGGTTTTTTTAAAAAAAGAGTAATGAAAGATTAGGGTGGGGGTACAAGGTCTAAAAAGCTCATTTTGAAGGGGTACTAGTAATTTTCCCAAAAAACTATTCCCAATAAAAAAAAATGATGACAATACCCTTGAAAGTTTTAAGGGGTATTTTAGTTATTATAGTTTATCGAAACATGATTTTAAATAATTTTTTATAGGTGCGACCTAATGAAATACCAAATTTCATATTCATAAAATTTGTATTAAAAAAATTAAAAATAAAATACTATGAGACGTCAGATCTAGGATCAAACGTCGCGTGACTCACTTTATCAAAATTGGAGGGCTGGATGGCACGGAAAGCATAGAGGGGAAGTATAGAAACGTTTCCTATAAAATACTCGAGATTGAATTCTGCTTGAGGGAGTGAATGGAGGGAATTTTCTTGGCATTTTCACAACTCTCGGAAATAGGCAGTTCAATATTCTACAGCGGGACAAAGGTTTTCAAAACTTGTATTTCCTAACCGTTGTGTGGATAAAGGAACAATGAACACGTATCTGAAACTTGCGGTCAGTTTTTATATGCATCTCAAACAAATGGCCACCTCCCTATATCCCCATTTCAACTTATGCAACTCCTCAACTACACCTTCTCCTGTACTGAAACTTTGATTCTGTTTCTATGGATTGCTCCCCACTTTTCCTCCACTCTTCTTATCCAACAACCACCCACATTAGAAGGTATCTAATGGCTTCCTGCAATAATCCACAAATTTTTAGTTCAATTTCGGTTCATTTTCTTTTGAATTTCGAGTCTTCTTTGCTGAAATCAAAGAACCCCATCTTGAATAACCAAGTATGAAATCATTCTTTCTTGCACTTAGCTTTGACACTCCATCTTTTTCCTTTCATTTGTATCTGATTTATTGATGTGAAAACTGTTAAATTTTCTTGAAGGGAGGACACAATTCCCATGGTAGAGCATTTCCTGGTTTAGTTATTTAACTTGGTACTAGTGTCCATAGTTTAGTTTTAGTTCTCTTTACATTTTTTTTTTTATGGAAGTTTCATTTTTACTCTGATGAATTCAATTAACTCAATATTCATTTTACTTTGGGCTTCCACTCCGACCAATTAACTGAATTCATTCAGGCTTAGACTTTGTTCTGATAATTTCATTTTTATTTCTATTTATATTTATTTTGGGGAAGGCTTCAATGCTTATGGATGAATATTTACTTCTCCCCACTTCAACCAGTTACCCAAATTCAGCAATTCTCTTGCTTTATTTTGAACTGTAAATAAACCATTGTTCTTCTTTTTTGGTTATATTTAGTTTCCTTTTGTTATTATGTTCTTTGGGGAAGTTCGATTCTTATAGTCAAGTATTTCATTTTGGGAATGCTAGTATATTTCCTATAGCCAGGCACTCCAAACCTGTTTACTTTACGCCAATAAAATGGAGAAGGTTGGGTATTTGGCTTACTTTCTGGAGTTTGAGTTTTGAAATTTGTTGCTTTCAGCTGCCATTGTCCTTATGCTGGTGTACACAGTGTTGGGCTTCAATTGAATCTGAAGGGTCAATCTTTATTTGCTTGTCGAGTCCAGGGCACAAGTGAAAATGTGGATTCGAGCATTGCTGGTGTTTCTTCTTCTTCTTCCAATTATTTGGGAGATGAAAATGGTTCTCTCTTTGGTGGTTTGGATGAGGAGAAGGTCACTTCTTTTACTACTTTAACTGCAGAAATCACCCCTGAAACAACAGATTTCTTTGTTAGTGACGCGGAGGATGACCCTGACTGCCCATCAGAGGGTTTTTCTTCGATAGACCAAGCTATTGATGCACTTAGTCAAGGAAAGGTGAAATTTTTATGCCCATTTTTTTTCTTTTTCTTTCGGTTTTTTTTGTAATTGGAAAAGTTGGTTCATTACATGCTTCTTCATTCTTATGAGCTTCATAATGGGGGCTTTATCTGGTAGTGTTCAAAATTAGCCACTTGTTACTCACAATTTCTTTTATTTCTTTGTTATATAGTTTATTATTGCTGTAGATGATGAAGGGGATGACATTGAAGGGGATCTTATAATGGCAGCATCTTTTGTAACCCCACAGGCTGTGGCTTTTATGATTCGTCATGGGTGTGGTATTGTTTCTGTTGCAATGAAGGAGGAGGATTTGGAGAGACTCAAGTTACCCATGATGTTTCCTGACAATGACAATGAGGAGACATTTCACAAGTCTTTTACAATTTCAGTGGTACTGTATTTTCATTGCATACTGCATTTGGTTTCACCTTAGTAAGTTATTGAAAGTATAGAAATCACCATTTCACTCAATGGTGATAGTATTGATTTACTTTTTGTCAATAGGATGCAAAGGGTGGAAAATCTGCTGGTGTTTCAGCCTTTGATAGGGCAAAGACTATTCTTTCTCTTGCATCTTCTGATTCAAAACCAGATGATTTTAGAAAACCTGGACATGTATTTCCTTTGAAGTATAGAAATGGTGGTGTCCTTAAAAGAGCTGGGCATACTGAGGCTTCGGTTGATTTAGTTACCTTGGCTGGCTTAAAACCATTATCTGCCATTTGTGGGATTCTTGATCCCAATGATGGTTCAATGGCCCAATTGTCCCAGTTAAAGAAGATTGCAGAGGAGTATAGCTTACCAATCATATCAATCACGGACCTTATCAGGTGAGTCTACCAGTTGATGCATAACTGAAGTTAGATGACATGAAAATCTGTTTATAACACAGTTGGTTATATTATTCTTTGTCGTGTGATGCTATCACAATTTTTGTTATATCCAATAAATAGAATACTTAAAGACACAGAATGTACCCCAAAGGTTTAGCAATTAGGACATTTGGCGGGTTGCTCTTTGGTTTGAAGTAAACTTCTTGAAGCATCAGCAAATTACAAACAATGAACCAAAAAATTCTTAATTCACAAATTTCTTGTGAAAATTCCAATGGGGTTAAGTTAACAGATTACAAGAAATAAGCATGGAAAAAATTATGAAATCTTACCAAATATAAGATTTGGATCTCCTCAACATTTTGTTAATGACCGATGGTGATCTAGGCAAATTGCAATTGAGGGACTAATATCTCTGTAAACATGAGTATTCGTATGGAAATGAAAATTTGGACCCTGTGGAGCAGGAAGAGATAAACACAACTCTTAAAATCGGTGTCCAACATGCTACTGCCAAATTACTGTAGAGGGTCTCTTAGGTTAATAAACCTGATTCATGAGGGTTCAGGGATGTATGTTTTTCAAACATGTACAAGAAAGGATACCCCAATACCTAGACCATACTTTTAGGTTCCACTTATTCTGAAATACACAAGCAGTGAAACCCTCTTAGCCTGCATTATAGCACAATAGAATATTCACTTCAAGCCAGCTAGGATCCTCTACGGTACAAAAGTTGAAAGATTTATCATGGTGGGAAGAGGAAAAGTAGGTTATTGCCTCACAAAACAGAAATTTGGTATGGCTAAACCATCTGGCTGAAAGAGCTGGCACACTGTTTTCCCTCTGACCGTTTTCTCAGCTTGGCCATAGAGTTCATTTCTTCCATACATCTTGATTTTCCTGGGTGATACCTAAAGCCAAAGGGAAGAATGCCAGGTCCATGCTACCCTAGAAACTAAGAATTTCAAGAAATCACTCCAATAAAGCTGAGAACCCATTTCATATGTCATCAAGTTCAAACCCCCCATATTAATAGTATGGATGAAGTGAATGATATTGTGGAGTTCAAGTTGCCGACATAGTTTTTATCCTTGACCTACACTATATTAAGTATACAGAGTAGGTGTATGGGATGAGCCATGGTCGATGTCCTTGGGTGTTTGGTGATGTAGGTTTGAGTTTGTGAAGTGCATAACCTGCATCCTGGATGTAAATTTGCTTATGGTTATTATCGTACGTGTAGCTTTCTCTGTTGTGATCATCATGAAGTCCCATCCATTTCAGGCCAATGTATTTCACTAGTTTCAGATTTGTAATTTAGTAGTCTATGTTCCACAGTGGTCTCAAACTAATTGGGCTTACTTTGAAGCCGTTACATACACGTTACAACCAAATATCCAGTAAAAATGTACTGATACAACCCATAATTTTTATTTAACATTGCCCAAATAAAGATCATATCACCTCTAGGAAGTCTCAACATGCATTTCATTCAATTAGACAATGAGAGTTTGCTTGGTTACAACTCAATATACTCATATACAAAAATCAGCCATATACATCAATGAATCATTACATGGACCACTTTCGAGCAACAACAAAATCCATTCCAATGCAATCTCTTCATCACAACTCATAAACCAAAATAGTAACACAAGTCATAAACCATGGGGAAGCCAATTTTATCTCAAATTGCCCGTGATCACCTCCACGGGACTTGGTATTCCCCATAATAGATCTTCTCGTTGGATAGTGCCGGGATTCAGGTCCAATGTACTACTCAAATTGGGAAGCAAAGGAAGAAAGCATTCTAACACACATAGACCATTAATAGGGGGCTTAGAATTGAGTGTAGAGAATGGCCAAAAACGCACATTATGGGTTGTGGAGTCTTTGGGATTAATCATTGCCCACAATACTGCACAAATGTAGGAGACAATGTGGGCAAAGGAGAGGGCTTATAAAGGATGACCATAAAGCTTCATGGAGATGAGAAGTTACCTTGCTGAAAATGGCCTTGAATTTCAGACATCTTGAGAGAGGCATGGAGGTCCTTTGATGGAGCCAAGGAGTAGGGATTGGTAGAGAAGAAGGTGATCCATAGCCTTTGGTGGTACACAAAGGGATAGGACCATGAACTATGGAGGCTATTGTGGATCATGAACCAAGGCCAACTTTCTCTCTAGTTGGGGTGTGCCATTCCAAGGGCTTGTCACTCTACAAATGAGCAGCATAACAATGCTTTACAGGTGGATGGAAAAATGAGTGGCAAGGAACCCTATTTATAAAGTTTAAGAGTGTAGGAATAATATGGGCCCTTGATGTAGGAGATCTATGGGGCAAGAGAGCCATTGAACCAAGCCATTTGTCCCTTATCTAGCTATCATAGAGTAAGGGCTGAGATTAAAATACCATTCCCCTTAGCTAATCTAAATTCTAGTTTCTTTTTAGTGTATTCAGTCCATATAAAGATTATATTCATTAAGCCATAAAATGTTACTTTCTTTAACCAACTTTACATGTGTTCCATTATTAAATGACAAGTTTCATAAATTATCTTACATGTGGAGTATGGATCTTGTGTCATGTGTCCCGCCATAGGCTATATCCATTCCCCCATGGTCCCATGGCATAAAATTGCAAACTATGTTCTTATGTTCACACATGCGCACATACATCCACTATGCCATACTGTAAGTACAAGCCCGTCCCTACCACCAAGAAAGGGAAGAGCAAATGGACTCGAAAGGCCATTCGTCGTAACACAAATCACTCAATGTGCACTATTCATGTGCAAAGTGTAGGCGCTTTGTCCGTGCTTATGATGAGCGTTGTTCACCCACGCACCGTACAATTTGCACTACGTGCCCCAAAATACATGTGCCCACCTAGGCGCCCAAGGTGCCCTCCTAGGTGGCGTAAAAGGCGGGCACCTAGGCACTACCTCGCTTAATGGCGAAAAATGTCATACGGGCAACTCTAATCCAAAGAAGAAAGGTGGTCTTCCCATAACTAGCTTTAGGCCTGTAAACCTTTGCAATGAGATTTGTAAGGTAATTAGCAAAATCGTTGCTAATAGGCTTAAAGCATGTTAAACTGCATCATTAACCGTAACCAACATACCTTCTCCAAAATTCAAGCATTTTCAAGCGAGTTGTAATTGCACTTGAACTTATCCATAATATAGCAAGGAAACAGAGAGAAGCACATCTTTTTTAAAAGGTAACCTCCATAAGGATTTTGATAAATTTGATTTTGGAAATTTTAATAAATGAACTTCACAGATGTTGTTTATAGATAAATTCATTAATTAGGTCAAGATGTATATTACAACATCGAAATATTGTCTATTTTACCTAATGGCACAACTTTTGGTTATTTAAGGGGAAAAAATGGGCTTTGACAAAGGTGCCTTGTATCCCCATGCCTTTTTCTTATGGCTATGAAATTATTATAGCACGCTTATCAGAAATGAAATGGGGAGTGAAATTACTCTCTCTCATCTTCTCAATGCCGATGGCATTCTCATTTTTTGTAAGGCAAAGACAAAATCATGCCAATTCTTCAAAGTACCTTTAAAACTTCCAATCCTACACCGGCCTTGAGAAAAACTTCCCCAAACGAACATATATTTTTCAATTCCACCACCTTTAAAAATAACCTGAATGCATTGTTTTTCTAGAATGCGGCATTTCTAATCTACCCACTTCTTCTTTTTTTATGGGTAAGTCAGTGGGGGATAAGGCCCCCCAAGTGTTTTTAATAATAAAAAGGAATACAACTCATAAATTTACAACACTTCAATGGGGCAATTGCACAACATGATGGAGTAAAGGAAGGAAAATACAATCAGGTGGTCTAGTGCGCCAAACGGTGGCATCAAAAAAAACCATGGCTTTTTTAGTGTGTATTGGCCACCATATTGGCCTCACGATAGATATGTGAAGTGTACCACTCACGTCCAGTAAGTCTCTGTCTGCTATTGGCAGCAACAATGTGAAGACACCATGGGAATGCATCTATCTTAAATAACATTAACAAGTAGAGATGAATCACTTTCAATTTGTAGAGGAAAGCAATTTAACTCGATGGTGATATCCAGTCTAACTTTCAAACTATGAAATTCAGCATAATTATTTGATGCAACTCCAAGGGGTTGTGCAAATGCAGTAATAAAAGAACCATCTTTACCTCTAATGATCCCACCTCCACCTACCCTTCCTGAGTTATGTAGAGAAGCTCCATCGATATTGAGTTTCAAATGGCCTGGGTGAGGAAAGGACCATGCAATTGGGATAGAAGATTTCGTTTTCTCTTGCCACCAAGTGATACGAAGATTATCTGTTATGGCTTTTTCGGATATTCGAAAGGTTAAAACCTTAGCACTTTCCATCTCTATAATATGCAATATAATCCTCTTGACAAGTTGTTTTCTCATAGAAGCCTTCCCTCGAAAGACCCGATGGTTGCGCTTCCCCTAAATCTACCCACTTCTTTAGGTTTGCCACTATTCCAAGGTGGACTAACCTCTAATCTTTGCCAACCTATCATTGATAAACTATTTCCAAACCCAAAGGATGGAAGTTCAAAACCCATCATACTTTGAAAGATTCATCTTGCTCATATCATTCCTCTCCCCAAATCATTGGTGCTTCGTTTTCAATCCTTCACCAAATGAACAATCTAGAGAGACTCCAAAAGAACTTCCTTTGGGGCAGTCATAAAAACTAAAAGCACGTAAAACTTGTCATATGAATCAGTGTTTGCAAACCAAGAAGCAAAAGTTGGTCTTAGAATTTAAGGGCTAAGGATATGCTAATATACTTATTAGCTAAACTTAAATGGGAATTGTCTAGTGAAAGCCATTTCATGTGGACATATCTAATGAGAAGGAAGTGCCTTTGGAGAATCTCCATATATAGCTCTAGAGTAGTGGCGGGCAAGTCTTAGGCATGGAAAGGAGATAAGTAGTGCTCCCAGCGTCCCACTAATAATAACAAATGGCTAAGGTTTCGTAGGGAATGTCTTTTGGTGCGATCCATGGCTTAATAATCAAAGGTCCTTTAATGAGTTGTATGGGGAAGAAATCATAGGAGACTTGGGCCTTGGAAGATCCCTAAGCATCTCCCAATCTGAGACAAAACTTCGCCCTACATGTGGTGGAGATTGCGGTCTTGGAAGATAACCACGGGTGCCTAATGAATATGGACAGATTGCCTAAAAAAGGGCTCATAAACTTATTAGAGAACATGGGGGGACAAAATACAACACTTGAATCTATATGGATGAAATCAATACGCCCAACGGCTTAGTGGTTTGCATAAGTAACTTATTATAAGAGATTTCCAATTAACAATGGAGTACAAAGCAGTAAGTGCTTCTTACGTACTGATGCAATTGAAGATCCTTATCTTCTTTTCATTACATGTGCCTTTGTAGGTGATATTTGGAATGTAATCATGTGGAGATTTGGCACCATTATAGTTTAGTGGAGAGTTATCGAGATCTTCTAAGGAGGGGTTCGCTTCCACACTTTGGGATCCAGATCCTTATATCAAAAATCATGGTTCCGTGAGTATGCGGAATCGCGATTCCACTAACTTGGAATCGAGTATCCTCTAATTTGGGAGTGAGTTTTATAGACACATGTTTTGGTTCATACACCATGGGATTTGGACCTCCAATTTCTTAGGACCTACAAGCTCTCTGAATGCCATGACCTCCAACTTATTTTACATTTCACAACTTTACGGACCTTGTGAATCGTTACTTATGGATAGTTTTAAAGAAAGGTAACAAGAGAGGGAAAGGAGAAGTTAGTTGCGTTTTGGTTCTATTGAGGAATGTCAATATGCGTAACTTCCATAGGGCTAGTCCATTGGGCATGTCTACCTTTAGAAGGACTTCTATCACTTGAATGTTGGTTAACCAAATCGAGCCACTCATGGGGTTGCCTTAGGGGGATGGAATAATATGTATGCATGGATATGTGAGGAATCTCTCATCTCTGTCTTTGAGCCCCTAGCAATCTTTGACATAGGAGAGCTATGAGTAATTATATATGGAAATGTCTTTTCTTTTTTCTTGCTTTGCAAAGGAGTGCTTAGCTGTCTGTGGCATTTTTTTTTTGGAAACAATCTATCGTTGCATTCTTATATGTAATCATCAATTGATATTCAAGTGGAACTCATCCAATCCAACTGATTGGTGCCAAAAAAGAGCACTTGTACTTTATATGTAGACCAATGTAGGTAGCTGTGCAATTTTTGTGATGGACCCAGATGAGTAATTTTTTATAGTGATTCTTTCTGAAGTATTTATTTTTATCACTATCCATTCCCATTGATAACATGGGATTGTGGACTTTGGTATTATTTTCCATATTGGATTTTATTATCACTATTCATGTGTGAAATCATACTCCAACGATAACAAAATATCCGAATTCAATGACCTGATTCTGGTTTACATTGATACTTGGGTTTATGAATTTGTAAAAAGTTAACATATTTTTCAATAGAATTCATCCCAAATTACAATGCGGTTGTTAAGTGAGCTTTGAGAACTTTGATACCGATCACGGCGGAACGCAATCCCATTTAGTTAAGAATTCGCTCCCGTGAAAATATAGAACATACTCCCTACAAAGTCAGGGATCTTGATCCCTTGACCTGATCATGCACAGACTTCATCCCCCTACCACAGACCTTCAAGCCTACCTCACTCCGTGCTCCTGCTCTTGATCTTGGAGCTCTTTTCTCTTATGTTCCCAGTAACTATGATACAGAGGTCCAAAGCCTCATTAACAAATTGGTTCCAAAAGAAGTTCAAAAACAAGTTCCTATACAAGCTTCAGTGAGCTTCTCTTCCCATTCTAATTTGGGTAATGTGATAAGAAAGACATTGGCCGGCAAATGAAGACCATCATCGTACCATTCAATGGACACTTGGAGAGATGACATGGAAAATCTGAAATAGCACCTTAGAAGTTAAGATATTACGCCCAAGGAGGGGAAGAGAAAAAATCATATATGAAAGATGGGAAGCAGAGCAAATATGGTGATGTGGGAGACTTGTAGTGAGACCCATTGTTAAAATATGTCACAAAAAGAACTAGCTCCTCACTTATTGTAAACTTCATACAGATCAACACAACTGTGGGATTCTCTCAAAAAGCTGGCAAAACAATGAATAAGTAAATAAAAATATATATATATATATTTTTCCTTTGTTCTTTCACAGAATTTGTACATTACAATTTATAATGGTCTTTATTGGCTTTGTTAACGTTGCGTTGTTGTAATTGCAGGTATCGGAGAAAACGTGAAAAACTAGTTGAAAGGATTGTTGTTTCACGTTTACCCACAAAATGGGGTCTATTTCAGGCATATTGTTATAGGTCAAAGTTAGATGGATTCGAGCATATTGCTCTTGTAAAGGTAGGACATTGATTCTGGCATTCTCATGTTTGCAATTGCATTGTCTCATAGCAAAAATGGAGATGCATTGTGCTTGAAAAGTCTTAAGGAGTTTATATATTGAGTTTTGATGTTAAGGTGCTTGTATATATCGCCTATGCATGGAGGGACAAAGAATACATTCAATATTTCTGGTCAGGTTGATCATCGAATGCTTAATAAGTTTCACATATCTAAATCCCAGTTCCTCTATGAATATGTGTATAGTATTCCTCTGCTTAGCCTCTTGCATTTCAGTATTTGTCACATTCAGATACTAATATTGATACAATTGATAGACTTAGCCAGGATTCTGAAGATAATAGTATAATAAATGAAATCGATGAGTATGTTTAACATTTAAGATAGGGTTGATGCCCTTGAAGGTATATTTAATCATATCCTAATATTGTGTTCTGCTGCAAATTTGACAGGGAAATATTGGGAATGGGCAAGATGTCCTAGTAAGAGTACACTCAGAATGCTTAACTGGTGATATTTTTGGATCTGCTCGTTGTGATTGCGGAAATCAATTATCATTGGCGATGCAACTGATTGAGCAGGCTGGTAGGGGGGTTGTTGTTTATCTTCGTGGTCATGAAGGAAGAGGGATCGGTTTAGGTCACAAACTTCGTGCATACAATCTTCAGGATGAAGGACACGATACTGTGGAAGCCAATTTGCAACTTGGGTTCTCTGCTGATTCTCGTGAATATGGTATTGGTGCACAGGTAACAGCCTGATGTTTCCATTGTATGCAATCTATATATCTACTTATTGTATGTGCATTCTCATGCGTGCCAAGATTTATTTATATATGTTATTATACATCTTGGCTGCATGGTTATAAATTGTTTGGTTACATACAGCTATTTCCCAATGAAATAGTTCCTGAATTGCTATTGAAGATGTTGTATATGGGCCTTACGGGCTCTATGTTCTCTTTGGGTCAACTTTGGACATTTTTTGAGATTTTTCTTTATTCTGTCTTTTGGTGGTTTCCTAACAATAGGACTTGTTTTGACGTTATGGTATTGTTTGTGGGGCCTTTGGCCATATGATGTCAAATCCAGTTTGTATTAGGGAGGTCGAGGTCTCTCATCACCAACATCCGTACCTGCTTTGGGAGGATCACCTGATATGCTCAATGTAGGATTGTCTTCAACTTCACCATGTTTCCATTAAGGAATTGGAGGTTTAAGGATGCTACCCTTTTGGATGATCTCCCTTACTCCCTGAAGCGGCACAACAGAAATATGAATCCATTTCTTCAACAAACCTCTTGGGGTATCCAAGCCAAAGGTTCAAGGTGAGATTCTCATTCACTTCCCCATCGTTAGTGAAGTGAAACAAAGAACTCTATGGGCCTCTTCCACAAAGTGACGCTAATATTATCCCATTTTTCCTTGTACAGTTACTCTGATACCCAAAGTGGTCTTCAATATCCTTTGCATCAACTTAGAGATCGTCTATAGACTGGGAAACATGGATAGGAATTTCTGTGACTTCCATACCCATAGTGGTCTTCAATAACCTTTGCCTCAACTTAGAAATCGTCTATAGACAGGGAAACATGGATAGGAATTTTGTACGTTACGGCTACGAAGATATTATTCCAGTCTACTAGAAATAGCCTAGCCTATACTAAACTATACTGTAGTAGCCTAACCTTCGGTTCCCACAACCTGGTAGGTTACTTTGGTATCTCTCTTTCTGAGGGGCAACCACCTATTGTATTTGGTTGAAAGGCTACCGACTCAATTCCCCCCCCCTCCCCCCTCCCCCTCCCCCTCCAGAAGGGGGAGCAACGTTCTCCTTCTCCTTCTCCCTCTCCCTCTCCCTCTCCCTCTCCGGAAGGTGAAGCAACGTTCTCATTGCGACTACAGAGTTGTGAAAGATAACATTTATCTGTGGGGAAATAAATCCCATATCCCCAAACCAGGGGTACTGGCTGTGCTCCACAAAATCTAGCTCCACCATCACATTCAGAGTCTCCTCAAATACAATACGTCCAGTAAACCACTTTTGGGCAAAGTTAGGTTACACTAAACCTGTCGTTCTATTGAACTTGTCATTGTCCATGGAAATTGACGAAAATCCTTTCTCTGTAAAACGATTTGCAGATTCTAATAGAAAACAAGGATGTTTTACCTTCAAAAGGCAGATAAAGCAATTCTTCACCATCAAAATAGTTCACTGAATTGTCTTAGCAATTCCACACGCACAAATGTGCATGCATAAATGGAATGAATGTGCATGATTCTAGGAAGTTTGTCCATGTGATGGGTTCCCGTGCTCAAGACAGTAGTAGTTCAACCGTGCATCACCTGTTTTATTGGCAATACAATGTGATGTAATAATCAACATTTTTATCTCCAATGTACTTAACTGAGTTATTCTAGGAGTAAGTTTTCATGCTTCTAGATGTTTTGATGGCCTGCCTTGTGTTTCCCACATTGGTTTTTAGTACAAAATTTCAAAGCATTTTACCATAAGGCATACACACTGTTATATAATACAATACTGATGGTGCAGATACTACGGGACATTGGCGTGCGTACTATGCAACTGATGACTAACAATCCAGCCAAGTTCACTGGCTTGAAAGGATACGGGTTGGCAGTGGTGGGCCGCGTGCCTGTTATCTCACTCATCACAGCCGAAAACCAGAGGTACTTGGAGACTAAACGCGTAAAGATGGGCCATGTGTATGGCTCCGATTTGCCAAGCACCGTTGCCGTGGATGTAGATACTGACAATCCAGCAAAAGATACACTATAACCCTGAAAGCAAGCAGGCAATTGATTTCTGCCGCACAAAAGAGTGGCATCGATGGCAAAGTAACGAAGGCACTTTTCCTAATGAAATTCCTGAAACGTTTATTCTTTCCGTAGAAATGGGTGGTTTGAAAAAAAATTGGCTCACTAAAATAAAAATGATAAGCATGAAGATGTTCACTGTTGGCACAAAAAAGTCACAATCATCCTTAAGATGTAAAATCAAATACGACGAAGGCATAAACCAATGTTCAAGAAAGAAGATCAGTTCGACTCACCAATCTACTTTTATGAGCATTGGTTCACACTTTCGAAGCAGTGGAATGGGTCCAATGGTTGTTCCATGTTGCTCCTTGAGTCTCCCTAGCTGGGGCTGGCCACAAACTGAGGCCCAAGGGTCTGGCCACAAACTGAGGCCGAAGGGTCGGGCTAGGACCAGTTTTATATTTTCTTCTTTGTTTTTGGCTGAGCCCATTACGACCCTTAATTCTAGCGTGGTGGCCCAATGTTGTTGCATGATTCTACTTGGGGTGTATGTGGTGCTTCTTGATCGTTGATTTTTCAAGGTGTATCGTCAATAAAGCAACGCACGGTAAACCAAATAGAGTAAAATACAAGCAGTCCAAAAAGAAAAGTGTTGAAAACAGGGGTTGGTGACCCAAACCGTGCATCCAGATTTCCGAAACCGGTCTTTGGAATGCGACTACTCAACAGGTCATTAAAAAAATATTGGAAAAAAAAAGTGGGTCTGGTTTTGACCCGTTCTCTATTAGATCTGGGCAGAACCGTGGCCTGTTTTGTTAGGGAAGTGGCTATAACCGATTGAGTCATGAGTGGAACCGATTGGTTTTCGATATTTTAGGGGACCTGATTCGTCCCCGATGATTCCTCATCCAAATTGGTTAGATCTAATCCAGATTGGCATTTTTTCAAACATTGGTTGAAAATATAGCCCAGTTATGAGCAGTATCCGCAAACTCGGACAGTCCAACTCAGAACCGACTGGTCAAACTGGAATTGGCCACTGGCCGATTTGGCTTTGGCCGGTTTTGATGGTCTGGCCAGGAAAACAGAATTCGAAAACAAAATATATAAAATTTCCAAAGAATAATGGACTTGTTTGTAATGTGCTTTTGAATGTTTATTTATCATTTTGGCATGGAACGGTTTTTTAGTCATGAACACTTTCCTATCTTTTTCTTAGGAAAGTTTGAAAGTACCTCTGGGCACAAAATCCACTTTTTTTCACTACTTTTCAATTTCATTTGGATATATTTCATTTAATCATGCTTTAAATATATATTTTTTATATTTTTTGGATTTTTTGTATTTTTTTATTTTCCTTCCACATTTTGCACTCGTCGGGACCTGCTCAGTTAGGCCGATTAAATGAATTTGCTTACTGATTACAAAAGAACAAATTGATTTTGATTTTGTAAATTCTTAGATCATGAAATTCACCAAATAGATGGTCTAGATTTATTTTAGAAGTGGGATTCGTTTTTTACAATATCTAACGTGCAAATTAAATTTTAATTTTTTGGAGTTTGATTATTAGCATGAAGAGATGGTGTGTGCAATTTTTGGTGTCATAAAAATGTCACAAACATAGTTTGGTAGAAATGTAGTTGCATTATATGACAATGTTATGGTAAAATCATTGTCTTTTCTCTCTCTCTCTTTATATATATATATAATGAGACTATTTACCTTTGATACATAGTGGTCACAATTAATCTTGACTATTGGATGTGAAATTGGGTCGTTCATTTATTCCATTGATCAAGCTTAAACATCAAATGAAATTTTTTTGAACTTTGTGATACACCCAAGCTATCAAATTTTACTTCAGATGGTTGTAGGTAATTGTGACCACCTTGTATTAAAGGTAAATGTTCTTATTGTATAGGCTCATTTTTTCCAGTGAGCCAGTGGGCTCACCCAACGCCTATAGGCGAAAATGAACAGTCATTTCGCATATCATCATCACCATCCAAACTTCATCGTACGGTCACAGTTGTTCAGTAGTATTTCAATTTTCATTTTTTTTTACCAATAGTAATGATCTGAAATTTGGAGCGTGTGTACATCTTAATGAAGTGCACCT